TTTGTCAAAATAAAATCATAATGTGTCAGACAAAAAAGTAATAATAGTTGTACATCTACTATGTATGGACCTCAGAAAAAATAAAAAAAATTGAATATTGGCCCCAACATACCAAACTAAATACAAAAACATGCAAATTGTTTGGGGGCTTAAAAGCCGGCTATACATGGATCGAAATTAGGCCGGTGTAGCAGGGACAGGATGAATTTTGATCTATGTATGGGCACTCTGGTTGTACAAAAGTCAATCTATTGGTGGTAGGGGTTGGGGCTGGTTATGTTTAACTGTATTGAATAGAAATGCCCGCAGCGAAAAAAGAAGAAAAGAATTAGCGCAGGGCAGGCATGACTAGGCCCAGAGTGGGAAGGAAGATGTGTAAGGGGTTAATGTTAGTATTAGGGTTGGTAAAGGATAGTGCTGGGGATCTGGTTGGTAGAGGAGAAGTAGGTAGGTGGGTCTCCTGCACTTTAGTGTAGAGTGTTCTGGGGAGGGGCGTCAGTTGGGAGCTGGACGTGGGAAAGAGAGCTTCCCTCCGCCCGCCCTGTTTGGTGAATGTTGTGTTCCTCCTGGGGGGGGGGGGTGATTTTGGTTCCTGGGCGGTGGTTGGTCTTTGGAGGCGGTTCTTATCTTGGAGGTACAAAATGGTGTGGGACCCATCGTTGGTATGGTGTGCCCGGGAACATTCCCAGTTAACCGAGGTTTTAACTGGAAGGTGGTGGTGCTGCACTGCGGATGGTATGGTTGTCTCCGAGCTGGTTTGGTTTGCGGCTGGAGGCCTAGTGGAATATGGTTGTCTGCAGGTGCATTTCGGATCGTTTTGGTGGTGCCTTCAAAGACCAACGACAACTCTTTATGTTTTCTGTTATAAGGAATGGTTGATGTGTTTTAAACTTGATTTGTTAATAAAAGGCCGTGCTGGCCATTTACTCCAAAATTGGTGTTGTGTTTTCTGTAAGTATAGTAAGTAAAGGGGATTGGTATGGAAGGGTAATGGTGGTGTAGTGGGGGTCTGTCTGGATGAACCTATCTTGGGTGCACTAGTCATGATTTACTAAAACTGGAGGGTGCAAAATCTGGTGCAGCTCTGCATAGGAACCAATCAGCTTCCAGATTTTATTGCCAAAGCTTAACTGAACAAGCTGAAGTTAGAAGCTGATTGGCTGCCATGTACAGCTGCAATAAATTGTGCACTCTCCAGCTTTAGTAAATCAACCCCTACGTGTTTGATTTTTGATGGTCCTGCATGACCAAATCTGAGGGGAACAGCTATGGCCCTTTTTTTACATTTTGTTTCTGTATTTTTTTGCATTTACCTTGTAAAAGTTCAATAAACAGAACTATCAAAAAACAAAAAAAGACAAATTCCAGGTATGGCATCCAGCTTGGACCAATGTAACTATGTGTATTTCATTCCTGTGGAAGGCCTGCTTGTACCAGGCACCGAGGTTGGCCACTTGACATGGGCGCCATTCAGAGAATGTTTTGCATTTTCTAAATTAATGCAAAGAGTTCTCTGATTGGTTGAGGTGGAGAGCATGATGTCACTGCTTCACTTCATCCAATCAGAGAATGCTTTGCGTTGAAAAACATTGCATGCATGTTCATTTGTGATATACTTTTATATAAAAATTTGAGCTCTAGTTTGTATAAATGCAAAGACTTCTTAATCTTTTAGAATCAGTGACAGAAGTTAAGACTGAAAATATACGTCACCAGTTTTGGCCCCGTGTCAGACACAGACATGGTAAGTGAAGAATAGATCTCGCAAGGATGTAAACTTTTCATAAACTTGAACATTTACGCAGCGCTTTACATATTGTACATTCATATCAGTCCTTGTCCTTTAGGAGCTTACAGTCCGAGGTGTCTGACTTTACATGCATACATACAGTACATATACTAGAGTCAATGTAGACAGGATTTATGTCACCTACCAGCATGTCTTTGAAATTTGGGATCAAAACCAGAGTACCTGGAGGAAACCTACAAACTACAAACTCCATGTGTATCTTGTCCTGAGCAGGATTTGAACCAGGTACTCTAGTGCTGCAATCCGTTGTGCTGCCCCATGCATCTATAGAGTATTACTCTCTTAAGCAAACAAAGTGACATTATAGTGTACAGGGGGTTAGACAAAAAATGGAAACACTACATGATTTGCAGGTGTGAAAATGGCGACATGTTTCACAGTGAGAGCGGAAGTGACGTAACATTTTTTTGCTTCCATTGTGTGATGAGACACTCAACTAACAGGCGGGAAGCCTCTCTTTCGTCATTCACTGTGTGCGCTGCTAGTAATATGGAGTCATGTCAGAGCTTACTGAGCTTCAAAGAGGGTAGATTGTTGGTGCAGCTGGTGCCTCTGTGACCAATTTATTTGCCGTGTGGCAAGGTACAGTATCACAGGTTATGATGGCATATGCAGTTTCCAGAAAAACGGCGTCTGATAATCATAGGAGTGGTGGACATGGTCAACTGACCGAAAGAGACAAAAGGACATTGTGCAGGACTGTTCTGGAATAAGAGAACAACTGCTGCAAAAGTCACTGCAGAGCTCAATCTCAGTCTATATGGGACTTAGTCTTCACGAGACTGAGATTGAGCTCTGCGGTCACTTTTTGCAGCAGTTGTTTTCCTATTCTGGGTCACAATCCTGCGCAATGCTCCTTTGTCTCTTTTGGTCAGTGGACCATGTTGACTGCGCTGATGCTTATTAGATGGCGTTTTCCCAGAAACTGCATATGCCTTCATAACCTTTCATACTGTACCTTGCGACATGGGGCAAATAAATTGTTCACAGAGGCACCAGCTAAGCGGCACCAACAATTTGCCCTCTTTGAAGCTCAGTAAGCTCTGACATGACTCTATTACTAGCAGCTCGTGAATGACAAAAGTGAGGTTTTCGCACCTGTTAGCTAGGTGTCTCATCACACAGTGGAAGCAAATGAATGCTACATCATTTCCACTTTCAATGCAAAACATGTTGTCACTTTCATACCTGCAAATCCATGTATTGTTTCTATTTTCTTGTCTAACCCCTGTACATGGAGCCTGTCCTGTCCCTGATCACGATAGACAAATCATTATTTAAACAGATGGTCAAATCTTACATGTGTATTGAGGGGCATCGGCTACAGAGAATTACATCACTGAAAATTGTCTTTTGAAACATGTACTGGTTAAGATCATCTGATACAGCTAACATGTTCTAGGGGGAAAGTCCCCCTTATTCGAGGCTTGAGCAGTGGATCTTTGCTTCACCATGAAAACCTAAATTATACCTTGATAGAGACTAGCATCTCCTAACGACACTAAGAACGACCAGCTCGGTCCTTTGTACTTAGCGATTCTCAATACCCAAAAAAATGGAAATAATGTATACAATATAGGTGGTGTAGTACAAATTTTAGAACTGATAATCTCTTTTGTACATTTAGGTGCTTATATTCTTGTACTGACGTATTTTGATGGCTTTCTCTTTTAGGAGTACACTATAGATGTCTTCTTTCGGCAGAGCTGGCTGGACGAGCGATTAAAATTTGACGGGCCTATAAAAACTCTGCCTCTGAATAACCTGTTGGCCAGCAAGATCTGGACCCCAGACACCTTCTTCCACAATGGAAAGAAATCCGTTGCTCATAACATGACAACACCCAACAAACTGCTGAGACTCACTTATAATGGAACTCTACTGTACACTATGAGGTGACTTGTCCTTTGTTGCAGTTATTTGTAATACTGTCCATAGTAGTGTCATGTGACTAGGCTCTCCTCCTATCATGAAGTGTTGACTGTAGCATTATGCAGAGAGAACTCTGTAGGACACTGCAGGCTCCACACCATGGCCTGAGGAGTCGGGATAGTGGGGTTATAAATAGATCCTCTTCGTTTCCCTCTGAGAAACCATTAAAGGCCATCTAAACGTTGATCATATTATGTCGACCGTCACCTACAGTATATATAAAAAGTCTACACACCCCTGTTAAAATGTCAGATTTCTTTGATGTAAAAAATGAGACAAAGATAAATCATTTCAGAACTTTTTCCACTTTTAATGTGACCTATAAACTGAAATCTTTTAGGGGGGGGAGAAAACATAAAAAACTAAAATAATGTGGTTGCATAAGTGTGCACTCCCTCTTATAACCGGGGATGTAGCTGTGTTTAGAATTAAGCAATCACATCCACAATCATGTTAAATAGGAGTCAGCACACAACTGCCATCATTTAAAGTGCCTCTGATTAACCCCAAGTAAAGTTCAGCTGTTCTAGTAGGTCTTTCCTGATATTTTCTTAGTCACATCCTACAGAAAAAGCCATGGTCCGCAGAGAGCTTCCAGAGCATCAGAGGGATCTCATTGTTAAAAGTTATCAGTCAGGAGAAGGGTACAAAAGAATTTACAAGGCATTAGATATACCATGGAACACAGTGAAGGCAGTCATCATCAAGTGGAGAAAGTATGGCACAACGATGACATTACCAGAACTGGACGTCCCTCCAAAATTGATGAAAAGACAAGAAGAAAAAACTGGTCTGGGAGGCTTCCAAGAGGCCTACAGCAACATGAAAGGAGCTGCAGGAATATCTGGCAAGTACTGGCTGTGTGGTGCATGTGACAACAATCTCCCGTATTCTTCATATGTCTGACCGATGGGGTAGAGTGGCAAGACGGAATCCTTTTCTTACAAAGAAAAACCTCCAAGCCCGTTTAAATTTTGCAAAAACACATCTGAAGTCTCCCAAAAGCATGTGGGAAAACCAAGATTGAAATTTTTGGCCATAATCCCAAAAGATATGTTTGGTGCAAAAACAACACTGCACATCATGAAAAGAACACCATACTCACCGTGAAGCATGGTGGTGGCAGCATCATGCTTTGGGGCTGTTTTTCTTCAGCTGGAACTGGGGCCCTAGTCAAGGTAGAGGGAATTATGAACAGTTCCAAATACCAGTCAATATTGGCACAAAACCTTCAGGCTTCTGCTAGAAAGCTGAACATTAAGAGGAACTTCATCTTTCATCATGACAACGACCCAAAGCATCCATCCAAATCAACAAAGGAATGGCTTCACCAGAAGAAGATGAAAGTTTTGGAATGACTCAGCCAGAGCCCAGATCTGAATCCGATGGAAGATCTGTGGGGTTGTCTGAAGAGGGCTGTGCACAGGAGATGCCCTAGCAATCTGACAGATTTGAAATGTTTCTGCAAGGAAGAGTGGGCAAATATTGCCAAGTCAAGATGTGCCATGCTGGTAGACTCATACCCAAAAAGACTGAGTGCTGGAATCACATCAAAAGGGGCTTCAACAAAGGATTAGTGTAAGGGTGTGCACACTTATGCAATCATATTATTTTAGTTTTTTTTATTTTTACTTCCGTCCACTTATAATATTTCAGTTTGTTGATCAACTGAGTTGTACAGTTTATCGGTCACATTAAAGGTGGGAAAAGATATGAAATGATATATCTTTGTCTCATTTTTTTACATCTCAGAAACCTGGCATTTTAACAGGGGTGTGTAGACTTTTTATTTCCACTGTATGAGCTTGATTTTGCTGTGTAGTAACTGCAAGAGGCTGATACCAAGTCAGTTTATGGTACTTATGCTGTGTAGCCATGCTGGCTGCATATCCTACACATGTGCAGCCTTGTGGTGGGGCAGCATTTGAACTCTTCAGCCCATTCCTGCCTGGCAATGGTTGGCCCACTAGGCTCACTGAGGGGCTATGGACTCAGGATCCTTCCCTGGGCACTATTACAGAGGCATCCATTAGGAGGCCCCTGGCTTGGCCTCAACAGCACCACCCAATAGCCCTTTTATACCTTCCTCAGGCTCAACAGCACCAGACCCCAGTAGCAGCCCTTCCTACACAGGTTTCCTTTGTTCCCTTACAGCTTTACTGAACCACAGTTGATATACACTCGCCGGCCACTTTATTAGCTCCACCTGTTCAATTGCTTGGTAACAGAAATTGCTAATCAGCCAATAACATGCCAGCAACTCAATGCATTTAGGCATCTAGACGTGGTGAAGACGACTTGCTGAAGTTCAAACCGAGCATCAGAATGGGGAAGAAAGGGAATATAAGTGACTTTGAACGTGAAACGGTTGTTGGTGCCAGACAGGCTGGTCTGAGGATTTCAAAAACTACTGATCTACTGGGATTTTCATGTACAACCATCTCTAGGGTTTACAGAGAATGGTCCGAAAAAGAGAAAATATCCAGTGAGTGGCAGCTGTGTGAACGAAAATGCCTTGTTGGTGTCAGAGGAGAATGGGCAGACTGGTTCAAGATGATAGAGAACAATAACTCATGCCAATATTATTATTATACAGGATTTATATAGCGCCAATAGTTTGCTCAGCGCTGTACATTATAATGGGAGGCAGTACATGAGACAGTACAGTAACAATACAATACACGAGGGGTTCGAGGGCCCTGCTCCTTGGAGCTTACAATCTAGGAGGGAGGGGATAGTGGTACAGGAGGAAATAGCTGTGGGGGATGAAGTGGTAGGAAGAGTGGAGGAGATCAGCAATTAGGTGAGGGTGGGGACCAATATAGACCAAAATCTCTGAGGAACGTTTCCAACACCTTGTTGAATCTATGCCATGAAGAATTAAGGCTGTTCTGAAGGTAAAAAGGGGGTCCAACCCGGGACTAGCAAGGAGTATATAATAAAGTGGCCGGTGAGTGTACATATTTACATGCTACAGTCATCCCAAATGGTGACGGCATAAACCTTCAGTTAGAAACAGGTAACAATAGAGCAGAGAGCTGAGTTGAGGAGCAGCCCATAGGGGATCTTGTTGGAGTCCTTCATCCCATACCCAATGGATGTGAGTATCCCCATTAGTCCCACATCTCTGAGAAGGAGAAGCTCTAAGAAGCTAGATCCTCTTTGATTTAATCTTTGCTGTATGGGTCCTTGCACTGCTTCCCATGACCAATTTACGGTCAGGGGGACTCTTGCTGGACTATTTATACAGAATACTCTAACCCAAGATGCACCTCATTGGCAGTGGAGGGGCTGGCTCACTATTTATGATACACCCCACTCATTATTTTGGGGCTACCTTGGCACCTACATTGGCTACTCTCACTTCAGGATTCCCAACCTTATAGAATAAGTTCACCTTTTGACAAAAAATAATAAATGCACATTTTTATGCAGGTAAATACGCATTTATTATTTTTGGTTGCAGGAGCCTAGTAAGCATTGCACCAGCGATCAGTAGATCGCTGATGCCATGCAGGTCTTCTGCACACCTCTCAGTACATCTGCTTGCCCGCACATACTGTATGAGGAAGCCAATATACTCGATACAGCACCATGGTATTTCATTGAGAACTACAAGCTGACAGCCACTAAGGCTGTTGGGACTTGTAGTTTTCTCATTTACAGAGGACTGTGAATGAGTGACGTTGACGGGCCCTGCACAGCCGCGTTTTTTAATTTTGGCAGCTAGGGCCAGTCCTTTCATAACGTGTTACATGTAACACCCTGAATATGGAAGGTGAGCTTATCCTTCAACTATGGAGAAATCTAGTGGCCAATTTGGGGAACTGCACCGGGAACCTTTATGCCCCTACCCTACACTTACACTGCTTGTGTTAAAAAAAAAAAAAAAATATATATATATATATATATATATATATATATATATATATATATATGTGTCTGTAATGATCTATTATTGATTATGGAGTTGCAATAATAAGTGTCTTTTCTATCTACCAAAAGTTATAGTATTCATTTTGCTTTTTTACTTTTGTCCAGGCTTACAATTCATGCTGAATGCACAATGCACCTAGAAGATTTCCCAATGGATGTGTCCATGCCTGCCCACTGAAATTTGGAAGCTGTAGGTATCTGCATATGCATGAAACATTTCTCATATTCTCTTGTTCACTATTTTTTTTTTTATTTCAATTGATGTAACAGAAGCGGTCTGCACCGAGGACTTGTATTCCCGAAAAGTTTGTCAATATTCGTTGACTTATTATAGTACAAAACAAACAGGCAGAAAAAAACTCAAATAACTCTCATGATAATGTATAAATAAAATACTGGTCCGGAAAAACATTATTTCACCTTCTCACTGCCTGTTTGACCCCTACAAGCCACTGTGCCACCACCCTGTGCATTTTATGTAGTTGTGGGATGGTTGTGGCATGGCCCCATTCAATTGAATGGGTTGCGTTGAGTGGTACTGCCCACTGAATTCAATGGGAGTTCAATCCTTGTTGTGGCCACGGTGCTTTACTTGTACACACCCACATTTGCTGCCTTTGCAGCTTAAGTAGGAGCAATTGGCAGGATGCAGTAAAAATGTGCCTTGACCGATTGATGTGTAGGGAGACCAGGCAGCACTCTACACTGTGTGCCTGTCTTAACTATAGGGTTTTTTGGGGGGGTTTTTTACAGGCACTGGAGCTGATACATCCTGCGTACATTGTGACAGCGCTTGTCTTGAGAAAATAAACTAGAACCCAGCATCAAAATCCGTCATACATCAAAAGGTCCCTTTTTTACAGTCACGTAGGATATTCATACTATGAATTCTTCAGTCCTTCATAGGTTCTCCAAATAAAAGTGATACTCGTGAGCTAAAACGTGATATTCTCTCTGTGCAACAATCTTATAAAACTATAACATTTAACAAATATCAAATAGATTTGTGATGCATCAACACTAAAAACATACTCATAAACTGTGTGAAAAATGTAATCAAAATTATATCTAAATGTGTCGCGCTTCACAATATATATTAAATCAATCATAAACATATAACTCAAAATAATATAAACGTGAAAAAACCATGTGCTTCAAACAGTGCAGTATCCTGTGCAACAAAACATATAAATATAAAAGTATATACAATCATAAATTATTATAAAGTCCACTTTGTGCTTCAAATCTTGCCAGTGCCAATTAATGTGCCGTGCAACACTCCCAGTGCTAAAGAATAGGTGTACGCTCACCTTACCAATTAGCCAAGCTAAGTGGCTAATAACGCTTTTGTCCCATCAGGACTAAGTGGTATTTTCCATGCTGGGTGCTTATTTCCACATTCGAATGGATAGGCTTGTGCTACCAACTTTCTCCCACCAGGGGTCTCCCTCACTCCTTTCTATCCACACTGAGCCTTGGTGGATGGATGAGGCAAAACTGTGTGCTGCTTCCACCTTTCGGTATTATGGGGTATCATAGAAAAGGAAGTAACAATAGTGCCTTATCCTTTTAAAAATCAGGTGCTTTTATTAAAGAAAAAATTGCGCATCACACATTTAAAGTGCTGTTACAGACAAACTGTGCCCAGATCCTCAGTTTGTATTTGCCGCTATCCACATCAGCGTTGTGACGTCAGAGCCCCTCCCCTACACGTTACGCCACAGGGTCACGTGGCTTCATCAGGGGGAATCAATTGGACGCCACTGTCAGGAATGGAGATTTTTTATTATGTATTGATGTCATACATATCCATCAGACTTATGTATAAAAGTATAAATATAAATAAATAAATAAATAAATACAAAACTCAACAGAAAGGAAACTAAAATGTCCCAACAGTCCCTGGGGAGAAAAAACAAAAAAAAAAAAAAAAAAAACAAAACTCAAACATAACCTGAACGGCTCATAAATAAAAGTCCATAACCTGAAAGGAAAAAACGGAAACTATATACAATATTTACAGTACAAGGCCTTTATGGCCGAGACCACATGACTAAGAGCCTTTATGGCTCAGATAAAAACATAAACCATATGCAATTTCCATATTCAAACCTGCTGTTTACGGCCTATATGGCCTAAACTATATACAAAGGACCTAACCATACTATTATATACACCAAAGGGGAGGGCTAAGGAACCCGCAGATCTTCCACGTCTGACCCCTACAACCTACCATGCAAAAGGCTACCAAAAAGATCCGAACGCAAAAATCTAGGGAGTGCTGAAGGCAGAAACTAGGGACAGATCCCACCACCCGAGATCAACAGACCGCAGCAACAGGCTTGATGTTCCTCCACGCCTCCATCCAAGCTCTGCGTCGCAGCCTGTCTTTCTCAAGACCCCGAATTTTCCCCACCTCACCAAGGATGTCACTCGCCACCACCTGAACAGGGAGGACCTTCTGCCGAATGGAGACCTGACACCGTGCCATCCAAGTGTAATAACGGACAACTAAGCTGACTAAAAACAGGGTGTCCAAATTAAAACCCATGCGACTCTCGAATGCTCCGTACACCCACTCCGCATACGACATGCGATGGGAGGAAAGGAACACCCAGAGCCCCTCCCACCTGTTTATACACCTCTACGTTAAAGGGGCACTGAAGCAAGAAGTGGTCCATAGTCTCCACTTCACCCCCACACTCCGACCTCGGACAACCACGGTCATCCGCAGGACGGTACTTCAGGTTACCCCTCACGTAGAGCCTGCCATGGAAGGCGAGCCAGGCCTGGTCCCGCAACTTCAGGGGGATCCGCTCCAGATTTATCAACCGCAAACCCTCCCTCATAACATGGCCCGGGCAATCTCTCAAGGCCAGCGGCGCATGGAAAGCAGATGCCACACAATCCTCTCACCCAGGAGCCTCCTGGGGAGGGACCGGACCTCCTCCGCAGTCACATGCCACCGCCGGAGTAACTTCAGGCACGGGGCCACATAAGCCGGGAGCTTACCATGCTTGACCCGCAGGCTTCTCACTGGCCCGCCACTCTCCCAACTGTGCAGAAAGGGTCCAAACCAGATCCGGAAAAGTCCTACCCATGCAGGCGGTCTCTCTGCCAGCATGTTACCAAAGTTATGTTTCAAGAACATCAGAGAGAAAAAGACCACGGGTTGACCATACCTAGGCCACCCTCCCGCCTGGATGAGTAAGTCACGTCCCTCTTGACGAGGTTCAGCCGATTCCCCCATAACATCTGGAAGAAACAGCAAGAGGCAAACGAAAGCTGACGTACAAAAAGACTGGGAGCAGGAAAGTCTTGATCAAATCAACCCTTTCCCTCAAGGAGAGCGCCACCCCTTCCAACATCTCACTTTGACCTCGGCATCCGACAGCTTGGATTCCCAATTTTGCTTGCTGTAATCAGCAGAGCCAAAATTGATGCCCAACACTTTGATGTTCGGCTGAGGCACCTGAGGCACCGGGAAGGCGTCCGGGAGTGAGAAGCTCTCACCCTCCCTACCCATCCAGAGAACTTCACATTTGTCCTGATTGACCTTGGAACCTGATGCCTCGGCATATACTGATCCATTACTGAAACCACCTCCTGCGCCTCTCCGGTCCAGAAATGAAAACAGAAACGTCATCAGCATAAGCCACAACTCTCAAAGGCGGATCTCCAGTGGCACCCACCAGCACCCCACTCACCGCCCCGCCATCTAGCCTCCTGACGAAGGGGTCGAATGGCAAAGGCATAGAGCAAGGGACTCAGCGGGCACCCCTGGCGCACCCCAGATCCAACCTCAAAGGGCTGCCCAACCCAACCATTCACCAACATGAAGCTCTCCGCCCCTTGGTACAATGTCTTCAACCAGCCGATGAACCTCCCCTCCAAACCATACCGGTCCAGGAGATGCCAGAGGTACTTGTGATCAACTCGATCAAAAGCCTTTGCCTGATCCACCGCCAGCAAGTACTTTCCCCATCCTTCAGCCTTACATCGCTCCAGAGCCTCCCGGACAGCTAACACCGCTGTGAAGGTACTCCTGCCCTGGGACCGAGCAATGCTGCTGACGAGAAAGCAAACTGTCTGCCACTGACGACAAGCGCCAGAACAAGATCTTCGCCAGAACCTTTCTATCGACATTGAGGAGGCTGATGGGGCGCCAGTTCTCAATAGCCGAAGGATCTTTACCTTTGACAGGAGAATAACTGCAGACTGTCTCATGGAAGGAGGGAGAGATCCCTCATCCAGACAGCTGTTATACACTTCCACGAGACGAGGTGCCAGGCGGGATTTAAAAGCCTTAAAAAAATTCAGCAGTCAGACCGTCTGGCCCAGGAGTCTTTTTAATGGCCAGACTATCAATCGCTCTGGACACCTCTTCTGCAGTAATCTCCCCAGTCAAACTCGCCAGAGGGACATCGCTGTCCAGACCAGGCGTGGATTCCAAAAAAGCTCGACATCCCTGTCCGGTCAAGGTGTTTCTCACTCAGTAAATCCGCATAAAAGGACCTGGAGACCTCCAGAATCCCTGACCTGGATTTAGCCAGGGACCCTGTACTATCCCTCAGAGCAGAGATCGTCTTAACTGCTGCACTCTGTTTGCAATTCTGGAAAGGGTCAGGCGAGTGGTATTTCCCATAATCCCCTCTCCAGAACCAAAGAGGCACGCCAATCATACTGGAGTTTCCTAAGGAGAAGCTTCACGTCCGAGATTGCCCCCGAATCTCCACCGCTAGAAACAAGGCGGTCGAGCTTCCTCCGCAACCGCTGGTAGGCGTTATACTGTTTAAACTGCCGTCTCTTACCAATAGCCTTGAAAAACCTGCTGATCCGCACTTTGGTGAGCTCCCACCACTCAGACTTACTGCCGCAGAAATCCAGCACCGTCTCCTGCGCCTGAAAGAACTCCTCGAAAGATCGTCTCACCTCCTCGTCCTCCAGCAGAGACGAATTCATCCTCCAGATGCCCTTTCCTCTCAGCGGCGTGTCTGAAATATTCAAGGTGACAGATAGCATAAGGTGATCGGAAAACTCCACCGCCTGACACTCAGGTGCCGAGAAGGCAGAGTTCTCCTTCAAAAAAAACCTGTCTATCCTACTCTGGCTATTACCTCTTCTAAAGGTGAAACCCGTGCCGTCTGGGACACTTTGAATCCAAGCGTCAACCAGACCTGCCTCCCTGAC